ATTTTAGAAGTTTTTTTTATGAACTTTGACGCCAGATGACTCATGAACTATACAAAATTTCAAAAATTAAGTTGAAATTTTTCTCACAACCGTCAATACAAACCAGCTTTTCGCAGTGTGCACTGGGAATGAAAGTCTCGAAGGGGATGGAGAGGGCGCCACAGTGAGAAGAATCCCTCGTAACTTCTTTCAGAGAATCGTTCCGCAGATACCGAAAACGGATTTGAGCTCAGCGTCGCAAGACGCGTGCATCGGACTACACCTCATTACAAATGGCCGGACCGACCAATTGACCATTCCTTGTAAGAGAAACTGGGTGCAAGGCGAGGGAGCAGGTTCTAGGACTTCAGAGGAAACTGGGCGATATGCAGCTCAAAAAACACGTGCAGTGAGCCTACATAGGTAAATGGGGCGTGCCGCGTGTGAATCACATGTCCTCCTTGCCCCTGCTATGTGAATCGCGAAAGTGGCATCACTTTCTCGTTAGAAACCCCTGCTACCTTGTACAAGGAAAGGATTGTTTCGATTGAATTATGCAGTCTGTTTCCTATGAAAGTTATTCTTTACAAAATGGATTTCGCAAATTGTAAAAGGCATGTGCACACCCCATTCCTGGAGGAAAAATAGCGCGCTCTTCTGTGAACCTATGGCCGAAACCTTCACCGTCATTTAGAGACAAAGGGCTTCCGCCCAATACCTTCGATTTGAAAGCCCTTTTTGCCTCGATTTGCCCGTCAATGTTGACTATTGTGAGAGCAGGCAGATGTGCGCCCGTGCTTCCCCAAAGCACTTTCGAGAGGTTTTATGCCCCGATTCTTGCAGGGAGGTGCAACGAAAAACGGGTTTGTGCCCGCCCAGGCGTTCGAAGATCGCCTGTTCTGTAGAATGCAAGCACATCTATCGGATTTCCTTCTGTAATCGAGGAGCTGAGTGCAAGGTTACAAATTTAACTATACTCTTAGCTGAAGGAAGTATGGATAGCTGCAATCTTTCTGGCGCCGTTAGCATATGCGATTCGAAAAAGGATCGTTTATGGCTTTGTGCAACCTTCGTTCGGTTTTTACAAAGCAGTTGAAAGCAAAAAAGCAGCGTAATTGGGCAGTCGAACGACTGTGGTAGTATTAACCCTATACGCTCACGCTGGTAGGCTAGAGGGCTAGTGAGGAGGTTCTCGTTGCTTTTTCTGCCTTTCCACGATCATTGGGAAGGTGTGAGAAAAAGTGATGCCTTCGCCAGTATAAAAAACGGTTGAAATGATGGCTATAGCGCTGCCATTGGCCGGCTGTAAATGTGAATTTGGGACTTTGCCTTTGCCCGAATGTATACCCCGGCACAATAGTCTAGCGTACGTGGTTTTGGTTCGGGTTAGGCATATGTTCGGATAAATGGCATCGTTTTCGCATAACGTTTGTTGTTGCAACCTACCTTTACTTGTCCATTCTCCCTCCGCGTGCTTCCTTGGCCGCTTTGCTTTAAATATTTAACCCGTGGTGTACCCGTTCCCTGATTGTTCTTATCTTCGGTCGGCACTATGTGAAGTCTGAATGTTCATAAAATTGTTTTTTTTTCTTTTAAGCGCTCTCTGTTGTAGTGCCTTGTCCTGCTTTTCGTTGTCGGTTCAATTTGAGTCTTTGGTCTTACAGGCGTAGTGAGCACTTTTCAGTTGGTGATCTGTTGCCTTGTCAAACGGCTTCACTTACAATCTCACGTCCTCGAGTTTAGGCAGGATGTATCTTTCGTATACGTTGTACCCGCTTCTTTTTCAACTTTTTTTTCTCTAAGATTCAAATTACGAAACTGTTACACTTCCCGTATACCTCTCCCCCCGTTCTTCTCTGCGCTAGCCCTTTTTACTTCTCTCTTTTGGCCCTGTTCAAATACCCACTAAGTGTTCAACTTATGTCACTCCCTTTCCCGTCCTATTTTTACTTCCCCTTCCGTTCGATTTTCTCTACCAGCCATTGTCATTTCCTTCTTTGATTTCCGTGATTTGCTTTCTGCAACTGATCATTCCCTTTTCCTGTGATCCGTCCTTTGGCCTCCCCTTTTCTTCTTCCTTTTCCTTACCCTTTGTTTGCCTCTTACGTTCGATTCGGCCAACAGTTCCTATTCTCCTATCCTCTCTTTTTCCTCCAATTCTTTCATGATGCAAAACTACTAAGCATGGATGTTGCTTCTCCCCAGCGTTCTAATTGTAAAAGTCTTCTAGACGTCGGAATGCTTAATTCTGTTCGCGCATCCTCCCTCAATTTAAAGTGCGTGTTTCGCTTTTTTCGTGAAATCTGGCAGTACGCGTACCACGTTTCGTTCGTAAACTTCGACATTTTATCCTTGGCAAGTTGCAACGTGTTTTGAGTAAGGTATGCTGTTGTTTCCGTCTCGGTTTCGTGATGTTTGATCTCGTACCCAGATGAAGAATGGAGTTACAACTACTTCGAAAGAAACAAAGGAAAGCTGGGCCGTGGGGGGGCGGAAGATTGAGTCAAGTAAAGGCATCGCATTTGTAGTATGTCAATTGCACAGGGGAGCGCGGAAGCTGGATTGGCTTTGAAAATCTTGCTGAAGCCGTCGATAGGAGGAACAAGAGGGTGAGGGTATGAAGAGTTGTTAGCGGCTTTGTGTCTAATTATGCCTCTGGGTTGGTACCAAGTAGAACGTCTTCGAAATTTTGTTAAAAATTTACCGCCCTTGTTTTCGTTCTTCTTCTAGTTATTGACCGTAAGAATTATCAAATGATAAGTTTCGGAAAGTGCACAGGCTGAATGAACCACTTTGCGTGTTCCATATTCCTGAGTACGCCATCCATCATCCTCATGTCTTTCAATCTGCTCCTGTCGTACTTAAATCTTCTGGGAATGCACCTCTCATACAGCGTCTACCATCGATTGGAGGTGTCAGCGGAGGAATGATAATGCTTGTGGTTTAAACATGCGATTAATGGCCTTTGAGTGCTAATCGTCCCATGAGTCAGCGTTTGCAAGGATTCGAGATTATCAAAAGAAGTGAAGCTGGCAAAACAAATTCTGCATCGTTACTGTCCTTTCGTATGTGTGGTGCTGTTCGACTCCTTCAGTTGTGGTTTTCAGTAGTATTAGTAGTAGTTCAGTATTAAATTCTCGAAATTCTTAGCGCCTCTTACGGGGATTCGGTTGAGAGATTTGCAGCGTTGTTGCTGCAGCATTTTCAAGATTTTGTGAGCCTATACCTGTAGAACAGCCTTTTGATTTATTTAACTTATGCTTTCAGCTTCCACCCTATAATGACCTACCAAGATGGAACAATCGCATCATTTCAAACCTCCTCTACTATCAAACTAACTACTTTGTCGTCTTTGGAGTGCTATTTATTTTACAGAGTTTCTTCAATTCACAGGTATATTGGATACATTTATTTTCTGTATTCTGCTAAATGGTTATCTTTTGTTTAGATTTGGAATTTTGCTTTGCAGGACTTAGCACTTGGTTTGTCTGCTATAGTAGTGGTTGCAGCTGTAGTCAGCTTTGCAATTACGGATAATCC